TACACAAAAACTCGTTAAACTAATGTTATAGTAATAGGGAATAAATATTTCATTTTTAAGGAGATATTTTATTGACAACACAGTCACACTAAAGTAAAGTAGCTTTTAGTCTGCAGGTTCGTTGTGGCGGGTGTAGTTATAGTTCCGTAACGGTTTTGCAAAGTATTACCCGTAGTGGATTCACTAACGATCTCAAATACACGCCTGATATGTTGTCATTGTGTATCACCGCTATTTTGCTGCTTTGTTCAAATAATCCTCAAACGAATCAGTTTTATTATTCAACCTATGTAGGTACGATATGTGATCGTAGGACTGCATCGTAAGACTGATCGTATTGACTGCACATTGTGAAACAGGTTTAGTCGAGCAGGATCCATTTACAAATACCGTAATTAAATAATCCATAACAATTTGACTGCTCTATTGCAGTTGTTTCGCCACGAAAACGTTAAAATCTAAGGCATCTGTTTGCTTCATTTTGTTAGTTTATCCATGTTAGAGGTTGACGACTGATACGTTCAATCATTGAAAAACCAAGGACAAACCCCCAGACAAAAACACTCCACATATTTCGTTTCTATAAACCATTAACAAAATTTGATTTCAGCCGCAGGTCCATATTGCAAATGTATGTTTTGAAGATTCAAATGTGCCAAAAACAATGGACAGCTAATTACTATTGAAGGGCACTAAAAATCACTTAAATATGGCAGTTTTAAAATGAGACTTAATTAACTTTTCTACGACACTAAGCAACACGTATATTGAACAAAAGCTGTAGATTTGAACCGTCCGTTTGGGACACGGTGTATCCAGGTCCCGTAGGTTTTAATTTTTTATTAATATCCAGCAAACATTTACAACGACCAAATACACATGCAATTAAATTTCCGAATTTATAATGTACAATGTGTTTCGTGGACTATGAGTCACTACAACACGGTGTATTAGTAACAGTGTGTTAGAAAGAAGCCTTGTAACAATAAGGCGTATTCACGGCATTTCTGTTTTAGGAAGCTCATTCAGAGTTTACCAACCGAGCGAGACTGAGAATTTGATGAGCCTGGTGTACAGTCTATTCAAAAACTAAAAGTGTCCAGGTTCGTCGTTTGCGTGCAACGTTACCCTTGGACACTTTTGAATGTGTCCAGTTTCGTCGTGTCGTGCAACGCCACCCCTGGACAACTTAAAAACTTGTCCAGGTTCGTCGTTTGCATGCAACGTTAAACTTGGACACATTTGAATGTGTCCAAGGGTAACGTTGCACGCAAACGACAACCCTGGACAACTTGAAAACTTGTCCAGGTTCGTCGTTTGCATGCAACGTTAAACTTGGACACATTTGAATGTGTCCATATTCGTCGTGTCGTGCAACGCCACCCCTGGACAACTTATAAATGTGTCCAGGCTCGTCGTTTGCGTGCAACGTTAAGCTTGGACACATTTGAATGTGTCCATGTTCGTCGTTGTCTGCTTTTATCGTTGTCTGATGGAGGCGGTGTCTGCTTTTAACGTAGTCCGCGTTTAACGTTGTCCAACTTCGACATCGTCCCTTTTTGAGCTAAGCTCTTATACGTCGACTCTTATGCATTTCGTAATACGCAAACTCCTCCTAGACGGCTGAATCAATTGTTTTCAAATTTTGCATGGTGATAAAGACCATATTGGTGAGTGCCAACATCTATATGGCGTTAAAAAAGTCTCTCAGGAATCCGCCCCACTGGTAGTCAAAGTTTCAATGTAATCCTTATGGAAGCAGTATTTGACACATAAACAAAGACATATGATCAGCTGTTGACTTTTGAATGCAGTAGATAAAGAAATAGCTGATAGCATTATTCCACAGATATTGGAACAGAAACGGTATGGATCATAAATATAATCAAATGACGACACTAGCTTGAGGTCCGTGACGTAGGAAGTGATGAAGTAGTAAAGGTAAGCAGTCTGGAGTGTGGAAACTGTTTATGACGATTAGATTTAGGTATCTGCATCATTAAAATTCTATAGGAAGGGAGGAAAACGGGTCCGCGACGTAGGAAGTGGTGGAGGAAGTAGTCAAGGCGAGCTGTCTGGAGTGTGGGAACGGTTTATGACGATTAGATTAAGATATTTGCAATCCTATGATGCTATGGAAAGGGAGGTAAACAGGTCCGTGACGTAGGAAGTGGTGAAGGAAGTAGTAAAGGCAAACTGTTTGAGACGATTAGATTAAGGTATCTACAATCTTAAAAAGTTCAAATGCTATGGGAAGGGAGGGAAACAGGTCCGGGGCGTAGGAAGTGGTGAATGAAGTAGTCAAGGCGAGCTGTCCGGAGTGTGGGAACTGTTTATGACGATTAGATTAAGGTATCTGCAATCCTAAAATGCTATGGGAAGGGAGGGAAACAGGTCCGAGACGTAGGAAGCGGTGAAGAAAGTAGTAAGGCTAGCAGTGCTGAGTGTGGGAACTGTCTTGGCAATTAAATTAATTTATCTGCAATCCTAAAATGCTCAGGTCCACGACGTAGGGGGTGGTGAAGGAAGTAGTAAGGTGAGCAGTTTTGAGTGTGGGAATGGATTAATGTATCTGCAATGCTAAAATGCTATGTGAAGAGACTGTAGACTGTAGGTTAAAATGATTACCAAGCATGAATCCATACATATTTCGATACATGCAATCGTTTACAATATAAATTTACAACTGAGTTGACAACAGCTGATTTTTACTCCATAGCGGCTAAAAACGATTTTTACTCCCTAAAGAGTAAAAATGCTACATTAGACCCGCAATGCATGCATTAAAAACGATTGTTTTTACTGCAGTAGGACAAAAACGATATAATATGAACCCTTGATCACTCCGCTCAATTTTGTGGATGCCTCTGAAAATGCCACCTAGTTTATCATCCTTACACTAAGACAGCACAGTTGAGATTACGTTAAAGTGTTGATTACCTAATATTTTATCATGTTCCGTGAAGTTTTTTAAGTGACTCTTTTTGATCCGAGGTTTTACGATCGAGGCGAAGCCGAAGTTGGAAAATGAGCGAGGGTTAAAAGCTCACTTTTTGCCCGTGTGGTAAACTATATTTTTTGTCATATTGCATCATTAATTAACAAACAAAGCAAGAAAACAAAAATCATTTTTATGTAAAGATAACCTCTCAAAACGACTTCCAGTACAATATACCATCGATATGTCAAGCAATCGAAAAGTATAGGCTAAAACCTTACCTAACAAATCAATCGATGAATAAGTTCGATCGATACGATTTCCACAATCAAAATTTACAACTGTTTACAAACAGCTGATTTTTACTCCCTAGAGAGTAAAAATGCTAATTCAGATCCGAAACGCATGTATTAAAAACGGCTATTTTTGCTGCATTATGACGAATCTGTACATTACTTATGTTATGTACTATCCACATTCTGAAACAACATGTAGTAGTAGCCTATGCTGACTACGGTAGCAGTAGCTTGCAGTACTAGACTTTCTATTGTTCTGTTCTTTACGTGATTAATTGCTGTACGTACAGTGTTGTGTAATTTTTATTTTGCTTGAGTAAGAGTGATTTTAAACGTTAGGTACCGTTTTATTACTGAACCAAGGTTAGTGACTTAACATATCACGATTGTGCAATACTACCTATTATTTGTATTTAGATTATGTAAAATGCAAATAAATTATCACATTAACGTCCATTTTATACAGTATTAGTTGTTTTATGGGTATGTAATATATGTTTATGCCATGTTGGATTAACCGTGGTTTTCAGTTATCCGTGGTCCCCCCCCCTCCATTACCCTGGATAATTTTGTATGGTCGCCATTTCATTGGAAAGTATTTAAGTATTATTAAAGTAGGGTATTGAGCTTATACAACATCCGGTTAGTCTGGCCGTTTTGTAGTCCGGTCCTGAGGTGGCCGAACTAGAGGGAGCCTACTGTAGTTTTTGGGGACGTCGGTTTAACAGGAAAAAAACTTTATCCGGACTGGCCTTGATCCCGAGGAGTACGGATAAGAGGGAGTCTACTTTAATTGAAATTTTTATATTAAATACAAGAAAAAACACAAGACCATTTATACAACATGATTAACAAAATGAAGCTAGGGTTGCTTTCAGACAGGTGAAAGCCAGTTGAGCGGAACAAACGTGATTTGATATTTGTATAAGTAACTAAATGTAAAAAAGTCAATAGATGTACTAATGCTGGCTAACACCTGTCAAATTCAACCAGGACGTGATTGAGCCATGCAAACGAGATCAGATAGTAAAAATAAAAGTAAGCCTACCGTTATAGGATCGACCGGCAGACACAGAGGTAATTTAACCTTTTATTGATTGTCATACCGATCCGGAACAACAAAAAACAACATAAAATGAAGCTATGTATAATAGTTTGGCCAGCATATCTTAAAATATGCAAACCAACTGCTGTTCTTTATATAAGAAGGTTTCAACTGAATATTATAAGATCCCCGTGCGTAGAACGGGTACACAGCTAGTATTAAATACAAGAAAAAACACAAGACCGTAGGTTACATTGTGGTTATAGTGTTTTTTCAAAAGGGATAGAGTTTAGGTCACAACATTTTTGACCCGACTCAAAGTAAAAAGTCAGGTCCGTAGACAAGTTTGTTATTAAAAAATCTTAGAAATTATCCACGGATAGACTTCAGAAAACACCATTATTCTAACGTAGGTATTAGCCATTTTGGTATTACACAGAAGTGGGCAAAACTATAGACATCCCAAGAACAAAACAACCTGCGCAGAAACAAAAAGATCACGTGGTTCGCGCTGGTATGTGTGGCGTTCCCTTCAAACCTGCACGGCTCGAAATGGCCCAGGGTTCTTTTGTTTCTGGGATGTCTATAGAGCTTTCATCTTGGTATACTTTTCGTGAGTACTGATCTAGCTAATTGGTTTGACTAAAAAAAATAAATCTTGAAACTGTTCAGTCTCATTTGATGATGTTTTCAGTTAAATAAGTTGTTGTTTTATAATAACCTGAGATTTTCTTGTACCCTTCTTCATCTGGTTGAATGTTGTCTGCAAGGGAGATAAGGCCAGTCACCACGTCTGCGACATGTTCGTTGTTTTCCAATTCACCTCCCGACTAAAAAAAAAATACATTACAATAATAAAACATAACTAAGATTTTCTGTTACAATCTGCTTTGAAACTGATAGTTGAGTTGTAAAAATAGATTTGCCAAGCTGTTCTAAGAACTTATATAAAACAAGGTCAAAAAGCACCTTTCTACAAGTTAAATGTGTTTAAAAACTGTTATGAAAGAACTATCTATAAATTTCCATTATTGCATAGACAATATAAGATCACATCCACAAAAAATAAGGAACACAATAGGTGATCAGCTACATACTTAAGGATTCTGATCACTCTCAAGTTTCTGGATACATCACGTGATATAAGCATTTAAATGTTATCGTAGGATTTTTATAAAACGCAAGACAACAAAGTCCTGTGCCATGTGGTAAGGAACACTGTTTAATCAAAACTAGGACCTAGGCCTGAGGTTTCATAAATCTCACAAAACAATCAAAGTACCTTGATCTAATCTGGCTGGGGCAGGCCGAAGCCACACAAATTTCATTCAAATTTGTTGAATTATTGTTCATCCCGTTGAGTTGTTTTATTGAGAAACCTTAAATATCCAAGCACTTGATAGATACATGTAATCTGCCAATCAGCTCTTCCTCAAGAGGATGCACCTCTTACCAAGAGTTGTCCTTACCTCAGAGTCAAAGAGCAGCTGATCAGCTGTTTTCTCTGACCTACCGTATATCCTACAAAGTGCACCCTTTTAGAAACCCATACACGTTGCAGATGTTTTCTGAACTGACTGTTTCTGATTCTCAGTTCTACTGTTTATCTAATTCTTCACCTATCCAGCCTCAAATGTCCGTCACAACCAGCTTTGAAGGCATGTGAAGAGTGAACTTACTTACTCTTAGAAGGAGCACTACATCCCATCGTCTTTGGCGTGTTTCAATGGCCCATGACACAATGGAGGTGCAGGCATAGGTCTACTTATGTGAGATGCCACAGAAAAGTTGTGGACCAAACAGTGTTGAAGCCGAAGCAATAGCAGTTTTGTTACCGTCAATGCCTTAGTATCCAGGCACTCAACAAAGTGTACGATCATTTCTCCTACCCAATTCCAACATGGAAGCAAAGCTAACACACAAGCTTAGAGTTTTATAAATTTGTCCAAGTTAAGATATTTCTAAGTTGCTTGACTGTCAGTATACGTACTAATTATTTTGTCTCTGATCTTACTAAGATTTTCTGGAGTGCAAACCAAAATGGCGGTTACCTCCGGTTGGAATACTGTTGCGTGCGCTCCCATAGAAGGCTGAAGCCAGTCCCTTCCAGTTTCCATAGCACACCTGCACCAGTACCCCTAGTCTTATCTTAGAACCATCAGTATAGCATTCTTCATCACTTGCGATGACGCACCCAACAATTCTTCCCTAGTTGGAATATATACAAAGAAGCTTCTTTGGCTTGCCAAAGAAGTAGGCCTACCTTTTTTTGAACACGGCATGTTGAACACTTCATTAGGTACCACCTAAACCATTTTAGAATTACCCCCGATAATGCCTGATGTTAGACTGCCTTCTCACGAGGTCACAGCCACCTGTCAGCCACTATAGTCGTAAAATAACATTGAGACTAGCGGGTTGGAGCTACCCACCTTGGTGGCAGCAACCCGGTCGCAAAAGAATTGCGTTTCACGTCGGTGGCTGCCACTATGCACACTCGGGATGCGCCGCACAGCTTGTTTTGTTGTTTGACTGCCTTCCATGTACATGCGTCTGCCACAGATGTCCACTTGTGAAGCCGAACACAAACCTGTGATACTCTCTTAATTTGCAGAGCTGTTTGTTTTATTTGTCAAAGTTACTTATAGCTTTACTTTAAGCTTGGTTTACTTTTATTGCTTGTTACCGGTATGAATGAATAGGGTGTTCCAAAATCAAATACATTTTTTTTATAGGGAAAGTTTTTTTTTTAGCAGCAGATCTACCCTACTGAATGTATTGGCAAAAACCAAAGAAGAAAGGAAGAGACACTCGATTCAATCTTGACAAAAGAATCATATTACATGAAACATACTTTTTGAGAAGATCGCAGCCACTACATGTGAAGGCTGAAGGGACAAGGGCTGTGACTTGGTAACTATGGATAGGTAGTTAGCAGGTCAAATGAACAGTCAAGAGCTGCTCCGGACAGCTATTTATGACCCTTGTAAAATAAGACCAATAAGTCAATCTGCAATCCCGCTAAACCTTTAACCGCAGCAGCAGATTTCATCGTAGGCCACCATATAAGCAAACTATATGTCATGGTAGGTTGGACTACCGATGTGTACCACCAGTACAGGAGTCTAGGCTGCAGCCCCCATGTTCCGTCCACCAGTCGCCTGCATACCATGAGGGACTGCTTACCTCTACCTCGGTCAATGTCTTTTTGAAGATGCGGTCAACCAATTATTATGTGATCCGCCTAATATAACTCCAAGATACCTCATTCTGCAGCGTAATTTCCGTGCCTTGATCCCTTAGTTGGCCAATCCCTTCCAGTCTCCTCAATTTTGTGAATTAAAATACTTGTTTTTAAAATGTTTAAAAATCTTTTTTTTTAGCTTTATAATTTTTTTCTGGGTTGATAGTGTAGCTTTTATTGTGCTTTTTTGTGTTACGGTACTGATAAAGTTGGTAGACTCGTTTTTGCTGTTGGTCTGACATACAGTTTATGAGTGTAAGTTGATTTGTTGAAACTTACCGCAATAACCGCTCCATCTTCATTTAAAACCAAGTAACCAATTTGATCCTGTATTCTTTCAAGGGACATCATGATCAAAAGGAGACTTGGACCTTACTCTGCAAAAATATATTAACCATTTTAACTTATCAATTGATTAACATACAATACACCCATAATATAAATAGCCTCATCAAACTTAGGCTATTGTGTAGCAATGCACACCATGAAGATGTTTATTAGTATGCCAAGCTCAGGTTGGCTGTACTCCGGTTTCGGTGAGTTTAATCATTGACTATATAACACTACTAAATTATAGGCCTATAAATATTTGAAAATAGCCACTTTGTTCTAAATTTTATGAGGATTACAAATATATAATAATATAAGGAAGTAGATTTGCAAATAAATAAGTTATGGGCAAAAAACAGATTTCAGTACATAGCGTTTAGCTAAGAATGCATAGCCTAACCATAGCTAGGAATCTGGCTGATAATTTACCTACATCAATATCACTACCTACTTCTTCAGGATCATCAACCAGCCCTTCAAAATCACTTAAATCTTCTTATAATGCACCATGTATATCACTACTTTTGATTTTTAACACTAAAACAATGATAAACGTAATAAAACACATCAGTATCGGTCCGAGGGTAACCTAGCTGTTTACAAATACGCACGTCAGCTGTCTGCTACAATTACGATCGGCTCGGAGAACATAAAGCGCTTAGAGACAGACCTCTGGAGAAAGCTTAGAATCTAACGAAAAGAACGATACCATAGACTAACCAACACAAGTAGACTTCTCATCCCATTGTAAATTTTGAAGCACGTTTTTCGTGTCTAGTTCATGTACGTGACACATGGGCACTAGTGTCGACGAAACTTTGTTTCTATTATTTTAGGGTTAATTTCTTGATTTGTGCTTTACTGTTTGGTTATATAACTAGGGAACAGGTTATTGTTTATGATTAGATCGTATTATTTGGTTAAACGAGGTTTTAAATGGCTGTAATAACGGGAAACAAATTGTAAACAAAACACGACCTCTACAGAAAACCGTACAGAACTAACAATAAAATTGTCTTCAGCTGTTCCATAAGGATGAGAAATCTACTAAGGGAGTATGTTTTATCTATGACGATACCTAACTCGATCCAGTTCAATCCGATTCAGTCAGTCATAGAGCCTTCGCCGTAAATGATGTTCGTGCGTCGAAAAATCGACGCGTGACACTACACAAAGTGTGTCGTGCGTCGATTTTTTGACGAGTGACGCTCGGAGGGTTATACAATTTAATTGAGCGCGAACTTAATTTTTTTTTGAAAATTTTCCAAAATATTTTTTTTTCCTAAAAAATTTTTTTTTAACAAATGTTCCTTATGTTTTATATAGGCTATAATATTGAAGCCCATGATTTTCCTAACAAAATGGTATATAGAACAGTATAATTAACATTGTTTTTAAGCTTCTCAGATCCGTTTTAATAAAACCTTGCAAATGAGCTAAAAATAGGCAGACATTAAGGCCAAAACAAGGGACACTCGGAGGGTTAAGTTTACTTAGGCCTACCAGTAACTGTACTTTTTGGCTGCACTTTACTTTACATCCTACACTCATTCGAATGAAAATATCGATCGATATATCGATTGTTGGAAAAGCTATATTGTTTGGTTAATTAGGTAAGGTTAACCAAACCTAACTAACCAAGCGATATATCGAATGAAACAATCGAACAATCGATAGTTGAAGGGCGTAAAGTGCAGCCTACTTTTTTAACATTCTGACTATCCTGAGCATTGGGCTGATTGTAAGTTACTAAGTAACTTAGGCTTAGCCAAATGTGGGCAGTCTTAAGTGTTGGCTAAACCTAAGCTTAGTCTAACTTTTATTTGGACTTTCACAACAAACTCAAAAACTTAACTTAGGGTAAGTTAGGCCTAGGCCTAAGTCAAATTATAAACTAAGTGCATAAACGGTAATACATTTTACTAATAAAGTTAATTCTGGGATTCCACGTAAGCAATTAACTCAATTAACTTACCGAAATTAAGATTAATAGATTAAGTTAGATGACTTCCCTAAACAAACCTAACCTCTGTTCTGTTCCTGCCTGTCACTTTCCATCCATTCCAATTCAACTCAATCCAGTTCAAGTCAATGTCATGTCAGTGTCAGTCAGTCAGTCTAGCCTCCACTCCAGTCTCGCCTCAGTCCAATCCATCTAATCCTCCGATCCAATCTATCCAATGATAAATTCAGCTGATTCACCATTCACTAAAAAAGGAGTAATCCAGTAATCAGTGTTTGTTTAGTACCTGCAATAGCGTTAAGAGAGCAGCACTGACCATACCGCTACACTTGGCGCCCCTGTCAGTGATTGTCGGAACTACCAGCACCGATATGACGTGATAACGTAAATAATGTTTGGGATTAAATAATGTTTTGAAGCTATTTAAGTTGTAAGTGCAATAATTTTAACTTGACAAAATTATTTCATTTAATTTAGAAATAAATAATTAAAGTAAAATTACGAATCAAAATTATTTAGCATGAAGTTTAAATAGCACATATTTTCATTGGTACCTCGACTGGGAGTCGTGGCGTACTCCTGTAATCCAGCTACTTGGAAGTCGGGTGTTGTGGATGGTTTGAGGCGGGGGGTTCTGGACTTAGTCATCCCATGTTGACTGGACGTCCGCACTAAGCTCGCCATCAACATGGGTACCCGGGAGGAGTCCTGGGTGTCCAGGTTGGCTAAGGAGGGGCGAACCGGGCCAGGGGGGAAACTCAGCAGCCAAAAGTCCCCGTGGTGAGCAGTAGTGGGATAGCGACCGGGAGTGGGAACTGGGTTTCAGCCTCGCCAATACAATCAGACCAACATCCATTTTTTGTGGGTTTCGGCCTAATTTTATTATTTACTAGTTAGCCGCCCGTGCTCCGCCACGGGAATACTGTCAAATCAAATAAAATCAAATCAAAATCATGTCTATTTCAGTAAGTAAATACATTGTTACAATACTTTGCCAGTAAAAATTTCATAGTTATGCAATGATATAAATAAACAAAATAATATACTAACATAGTCATTAAATATGAAATGCCTCTCACATAGGCTACTACCCGTGCGTGAGAGATTTCCGCTATCAGGAAATAATATTAGAAATTGAAAAAAAAAATAGATAAAATAAAAGACATAATAATTAACAAATAGTGTTTATCTTTGTATTTTATTTAGGGACTGTTTTTTTATATGAAGTAGAACGGATAGTTGGGCCTGTATAAACTATTTATGTTAATCAAACCAATATATTAGTTTAACCAAATGAATGTTTTAACGTATAGTGGTTTAAATTACCTTGTTCTGTCCAAAACGATCCTATGTAGTTCGTAATTTAAACCACTATACGTTAATTCAGACGATCCAGAGGCGACACCATCATGAGAATGTTTTAAATTAATTCGAGTTACATTTGAAAAATAAATTGTGTATGAACTGCACAATGCTAATAACCTAATAGGGCCTAAGCTACTTATGCTATGGAGATAATTTGTTAATGTATATTCCTACATTCGTTGTTTGCTTGTTCATTACATTCGTTGTGAGGAATAAAGATAGTAATTTAAATCACGCATCAGCAGTTGGCCGCATTTCACGGATCTTTGACCCATTCTGCGAGTAACAGCTGCGTATACGTCGTATAGGCTATAATATAAAGTTGGGCATACTTTTGGTTCAATGTTAGAGGGTATTAACGAATCCGATGGTAAACGGAGCCCCGGATCTTAAAATTATATAGACTACCAGAATGATGAATCATCTAAGTGAGACTTATAAACTCACCATTGCAAATGCAGAGTTGTAAGATCTTATATTATTCAAATAGTTTTTTTTGTTTCTTTTACTTTATTTATAGCCTATGTAGTCCGTGTTGATAAGATTTTCTATGAACTCAGAATGTAAATAAGGAGCTAATTTTACCTTCCCCTTCTGACAACATAAGGAGAAAATACTTGTGTCGTGTCCTTGTGTTGTGTTAGTCTGTTCTGACTCTAAGATTTGCAGTAGTAACAAATCCAATCTAACGACCCCAATTCAAATGAGTTTGTGTTTTTTTAGGAACTTCCAGAGCACATTTAACACTATTACTGTTATTTACTTTTTACTTCCATGGTTCTCCAGGTTTTTTCGTTCTGGTTGTCTCTTTACGCACAGTTTCCACCTTTTCTTTTTCTTTTTGTACTTTTCACACCCTGGGGATTATGATAAAGTTGTATAACACTGTAATGACCCGAGTCCAATTTGCCTTTAAACATCAAATCACACGCTTTTTTCACCAGAACCGAAATCGTAAGTCACAGTTTCTCAAGCAACTTCCCTGTGTGCCTACTGGAAAAAATAGTTAGGGTATAGTTCACTGATAAATTGTAGTTCTACATATCCAGAATACTCGCCATCTCGAGAAGGTAAAGATTGGTACTACTGAACGTCAAACACTGATCTTAAGTAAGATTCATCATCACCTACGATCAAATGTTTGTATGTTTCCCACTCATTAGCAATTATCTGCAAAACTTGCAAGTGGATTTCCCCATGATTGTTCTGGTGGGATAAATGATTTTGATCGGAACAAACAGTTTCCGTCCCCTACTTTCGGTATTATTTCACGTTCCATCCATTCCCTAACTCAAACTCAATTACCACTTTCCTATGGATCATTTTGCATGAAAAGTAATACATATTTCGAAAATACAAATTTATATTGTAGTTACACGTATTCGTAATCGCCATCTCCAGAAGGAAAAGTTTGGTACTGCTTAACGCCAAATACTTACCTTGAGTAATATTGATCTTCTATGATAAAATGTTTGTATGTTTCCCACACATTAGCAATTTTCTACACAACCTGCAAGCGGATTTCACTATGATTGTTCTGGTGGCCGTAGGGAATAAATTATATTGATCGGAATAAACAGTTTTTGTCCCCTACTTTGGGTATTATTTCATGTTCCAAACTCAAACCAAAAATCAATTAGCACTTTCCTTCAAATCAGTTCGCAGGAAAACTAATACAGTATACGAAAATACAAAATTTACACCAAAACATAGGCTACAAATATTGTTTAAATAACACATTTTGGTATAATAAGTTAACAAACACACTTTTCCTTGATCGAAATCGTGTCTGTTTCTAACAGGAACTTCTCACTATGATTGTTCTGGTGGCCGTAGGGAATAAATTATATTGATCGGAATAAACAGTTTTTGTCCCCTACTTTGGGTATTATTTCATGTTCCATACTCAAACCTAAAATCAATTAGCACTTTCCTTCAAATCAGTTCGCAGGAAAACTAATACAGTATACGAAAATACAAAATTTACACCAAAACATAGGCTACAAATATTGTTTAAATAACACATTTTGGTATAATAAGTTAACAAACACACTTTTCCTTGATCGAAATCGTGTCTGTTTCTAACAGGAACTTCTAGATTAATAATTACATACCGAAAGTGAGGTTATAAAAATAATAACAAATGTCTTACAAACATTAAACAGCTGACAAATCATTTATAAACTGTGTATTATAATCTTCAATAAGAATTGTATTGACTCGACCTTTTATTGAAGGGCTATAGTGCTTAGCCCTTAGAAAAAACGTAAATTCTAAGGAAGTTCGGCAAATCTACGCATTACATCCTTTAATTTGAGACATAAATCTTGTAGATCGGTCCAGTAATAACTGAGAAAACAGTGTTACAACTGTGTATTAAATATATAGATTTCTAAATTAAATGAAATGATTTTGTCAAGTTAAAATGCACTTATAACTTAAATAGCTTCAAAAATCATTTGGTTTGGTTTACCTGATTACCATATTGATTTCTTTACCCCCAAAACTTGTAATTTAATATTTGTTTTTAGTTACCTGCACCAATGTTTTAGATTTAGCTTGTATGTTGTTGTATGTTTACACCTCAAATTATTGAAATCTCCCAACGCGTCCGAGATGTGATACGTTCATTTTTATTGGCTATAACACAATAGAACATTGAACATATCATTAATTCTACTGTAGCTGTTAATAACAGTTAGGAGTGTGTGATGAATAATCATTATCAGAAAAAAATTACTACATTTTCCATAAATCCATGTGTTAGGCTACCACTTAATTAAATGTTATATTCAGGCTAGGCTGAAATGTAATTGATAGACAATACTGTACGCTGTGAACACTAGGACAATCTATTTCTATATATAATTCAGTTTTAAAAATCTTTGTACAACTAAATCTAGAGTTCTACTGGACCGATTTTATTAATTAATGGGTCGTTGGAAAGCTCAATTCGTGTAGATTTGCAAATAATTATGAAAGTTTGCTTTTGATAAGATTTATGGTGAAATATTTCAAAAAAACATGTTTCCCATAAGAAATACATTGAAAACTGTGTTTTTCGCACTTTTTATTTGGGTGATACTTTTGGCTGCCTTTTTTGAGTGTTTCCAAGAAGTGTATAGTATCAATTTGTAGGAAATTTTATTTTCTTTCAGAATATCACCTTCCACTTTGGTCGATTTCCTCACCATTTAAAAGTTATTTGCTAAAAAGCTAAGCAGCCTCTGAATTTATAGTAATGAGAAAATACTGAGTTAGGGATATTATTTTTAAACTTTGTACAGCTAAATCTAGACTTCTACCGGACCGATTTTGTTAATTAATGGGTAATTGGAAAGCCCAACTCATGCAAATAATTATGAAAGAGTGATTTTATTAACATTTTGTGGTAAAAAAGTAAGAATATCAAAAAAACATTAAAAACTGCTTTTTTCAAATTTCTGTTTTCAAGTTTCTATTTGTAGCCAGCTTTTGGCTGCCTTTATTTAGCGTTTTCAAGAAATGCATAGCAGTTATTTGTAGTAAATTTTATTCTCTTTCAGAATACAACATTCACTATCCATTTAAAAGTTATTGGCAATAATCTAAGTGATCTCCAAATTTATAGTGGTGAGAAAATACTGAATTAGTTATATTTTTGTTAAACTTTGTACAACTAAATCTTCTTCTATTTCTAAATACGACTTCTACCGGACCGATTTTGTTACTTAATGGGTCGTTGGAAAACCTAATTTGTGTAGATTTGCAAATAATTATGAAAGTTTGATTTTATTACAAATTTGAGGTAA